AGGGTCTTTGCTGCCAGTGCTGTAACTTCCAGCTCTGGGGCAGCGATCTGAGTGCCAGTGTGACTCAGCCCCTTGTCAGGTGAAATCCAGCCGCTGAGGCCCCAGCTCTCTCTGGGTCCAGGGAAGACCCTGGCAGCTGCCCTTCTTACATTACCTCTTCTGCCGGGACCCACACACTCCTGCCCCCCCGGGTCCGTGCCTCCCTCCCTCCCTCTCTTCATGGCACTTTCTACCCACTTTGCATTCCCAGCGTGAGCAGCTACGACCGCAGCCAGCCCTACACCACTGAGTGGTCGGACGACGAAGGCGGCAACTCCTTCAGTGCCAGCGAGGCCAATGGCGGCGCCAACCCCTTTGAGGAGGAGCCAGTGGGGAAGGGAATGCGCGTGCGAGCTCTGTATGACTATGACGGGCAGGAGCAGGATGAGCTGAGCTTCAAAGCGGGTATGGCACAGGGCACGTCCGGCAACTGGCGCTAGGCCCCGGCACAGCAGAGGTTGCGGCAGGGGGACTGTGACTGGGGTGGGGGAAAGGAGGGGAGAGCTGGCCCTTTTAAGAGGTATCTGCCCAGCCGGGGATCTGGGGCTACATGAGAGGGTTTTTGTTGTTTTGTGAAAGTTTGAGTTAACTCAGTGGCACTATGTCTGACTTATCCAAGCCCCCCCAATGTTTACCCTGAACATATGGGGAAGTGGGGAGGTTTCTGGCTCCTCATACACTTATATAACACAAACAAGGCATGGCCGGTTTTGCTCCAATTTTGCAGAAACCTCTCACCCCTGGCCTGAGCCTGGAACACGTCCATCCAGTGGGAGTCACTTTGGGAACATTACGAGTTAACTCGGGTGGTACAGAACAGAAGTTGGGACACAACACACACATCCATAGACTCCACTTTTTCAATCTCTATTACATGTCCCCTTCCAGTAGCTGGATAAGTACTTTCCGCTGCTGTCAGCCAATGGAGTTACTCCTTCAGCTCGAGTGGCAGAGTGCCAGACTGTAAATTCAAGGTTCAGGCCACTCTAACCACCCATGGTGTGTGCATTCAGGGTAAGAGGGCCACAGGCGGACTGGCAATGAATTCTTTATTTCTGCTTTTTGCCTCAGGCGACGAATTAACCAAATTAGGTGAAGAAGATGAACAAGGATGGTGCAAAGGGCGTCTAGACAATGGGCAACTCGGCCTTTACCCAGCCAACTATGTGGAGTCTATCTAACCTCGTGGTGTTCTCGTCATTGCTGTCTAAAAATAAACAAACCCTCCGTCGTCTTCATTTCTCTACACCAGCCAACCAGCTATCTTGCCGTCTGGTCACTCACGCTGCACCATTAGAGATTCAAACATATTTTCCAACCAAGCTTTTATTTTTTTAAGAGCGGTCTCAGAAGAATATTTTGCATACTGGCTTTTCTTCCTCTTCTTCTTCTAAGATAATGTGAAGTGAAAGGTCGACGTTGTCTGTCCTTTTTTTTTTTTTTCAAAGCAAAAAGCCAATACCTCAAGATTTTAAAGCCCAACCAATGAGGTCATTTCCAGGGCTTCTGATTGGTTGGCTTTTAAGGCTATTGTAATCATAAGCCCGCCTTCCCATTGGCTGGAACTGTTCCGAAACACACGGCGCGTCAACTGCTGGGACCGGTCAAATTTGCCCTATTTGAACATAACCAAATTAAAATGGGAGGAAATGGAATTTATCCCCTTTTATTTATGTATAGATTTTTATACTCACCCTCCCTAAGCATTGTCTTTCCAATTTCTCTGTCTTTGCGGGAGGACGGGGGGAAAAGTATCTCCCTACCTATCCTTTGCCCTCTCCCATTCATCTCAAACCACATCCATGTACCGTACATCTCCCATCCAGCTGAACACCCTGAGACTTTGAGTTGGGCAAGGATTAGGGCTCATTGATGTCTTGCAAGCAGGAATGGTTGCCTGTAAATTAAAGGAAGATTCCTCATCCCAGTGAAAGCTTTGGGGACCTTCCCTTTTTATTTTTAGAGTATGGTCTTCCCCTCTTCCTCCTCCAATCAGACATCATCATGGTGTGGTCACTGGTATCGTATTGTCATCCTGGACCCAGCAAAGGCTTATTTCCAATGCTCTTCAGTGACATTACATCACTTCCTCAGTCCAGGTTCCCAGCAAGGCTGTACAAGTTCTCTGGTCCGAGACAGGAATGCCTCTGTGTCTGGCAGCACCTGGACATGCTGGAGCAAAGGCACCCATGGACCCTGAACCACAATGTGGACTCCTGCTCCCTTTTCAGGAGATGCTTGGTACACCGCTGTGGTGTGGAGAGCCATGTAGGCCTGTGAAAGCTAATGGAGGCCTGCACTCTGTGAGGGAGCGAACTGGGCCTTGAAATGCATCACCTCTTCTTTGGAGATTTGCAACGCTGCTCCACCGCTGTTGGAAACCTCTTCGTAACAGTGATAGGAGCTAGGGTGATTCAGGGTGCCAGGCTGGGATGAATCTTAGGCCTGGCTCAAGACCTCCTTCCTGGGAAAGGAATCTCACCAGGGACCATCAGGGGGACTATTTTTCTGCCACTGAACTAAGGTGGGACCAGACTTCAATGTCCCATTCTTTGCACTGGAATGCGGTGGAGATTTATGTTTATTCCAACCAGATGTGGATGGGTGCAGGAGATTCCCTTTACATGTGCAGGCTTTCTCCCCCAGCCACCTGATGGATGGTGCAGGGGACATGGAGAGGAGTCGCCTGGCATTCGGACTGGGTGCCTAGCGTGGGAGATGCTCCAGGCCACCACCCTGCCTAGGAAGAGTCACAGGTGAGAAGCAGTAAATGAAGCCTGCACTAGTGTCAGACAGGAGAGGGTCCCTCCTTTAGGCGGTGGCAACAAGGCTAAGAAGAACTCATCTGCATAGCTTTGTGCACCTGGTGTGGGCTCTGAACACCGCTTCCAAGAGGAGAGACTGGATTGGTGCGTATGGAATGGATTCTGAGCCTGGAGCCCAACCGGTGTAAGGGTGGGGATAGGTGCTGACGCTGCAACACAGAGGAAAGACAGCTATCAATCAAGCTGCTGTGTCCCTTCCCCAATGAGAATGGGTGTCCTCCAGCCCCATTCATGGCCCCAAGTCCTGTCGTGAGCACCCTGGAGGGACTGTGAATAGGATTCCCCAGCAGCTGCTCTGCACCTTCCTCATGAAAGGCATTTTCACCCCATAGGCCCTGCTGATCACACATGACCTGTCCCCTGACTTCCAAGCCAAGCCTGCACTTCTGCTTGCCAGCAGTCTAGCTGTGGGTGCTCCATTGTAGCCAGCATGCAATTCACCCCTGTGCAACTCCATTGACCTCAGTGAGCTTAAGCGGGGGTGGATTGGACCCTGAGACTTTCCTGAGCCATGATAATAGCAGCGGGGCATTCTGCATCAGCCCCGAGAGAAGGAAATAAAGCGTGTAGGACCCAATTCCAATCTCAGTTTCACTGGTGTAAATCTGGAGTAACTCTGCCCGAGTCCCAGAGGTTTTACTCTGGATTTAGATCAGCATCAGGCCTAAAGGCAGTGGTGTGGGAACCAAAGAGTAAATGTCAAATGGAAGAGAACGTCAAAGCAAAATCTGTCTGGAGTAAAACACCAGGGTCTCCTCGCGGAGAATAAAAGAGGATGGGGATTGGTGTTTACTCTGATCCATGGAGGAAAGGGGCCATTACATTGCTTGCCAAGCCCAGCCCTCCTAGCGCTAATCATGCCTGTGGCTTCTTCCATCAGTGGCAGATGGAAAGTCCTCACAAGGGCACAAAGGCGGCATCCCAGGGCTATGAAAAAACAATCCCTTTGTCAAATGCTACATAGAGCTGCAGCAGCTCAGCTTTTTAACCCCCCACAAGCCAGGATAGCAAAGTGAGGACCGTGGGAGAAAGGGACACTTGCTTTTACTTCTGCTTCAATCGGGTAGGGGATGTGAATACTGGCTGGTATCCCATGGCAAATAGAGCCTTTGTTAGAACGTCTTCCTCACATGCGTCTGATGAAGTGGGTCTTCACCCATGAAAGCTTATGCTCCAATACATCTGTTAGTCTTAAAGGTGCCACAGGACTCTCTGTTGCTTCCTTGGTAGGTTTTGCTAGAGACAAGCAGGCAGGAGCTGTTCAAAGGGTCAAGCGTCCTCTGGAAAACAGGGATGGCCATTCCCCAGTGGCTTTGGCCTGAAGACTGAGATAACACAACAACCTGTTGTCCGTGGGAGAGGTCACCAGAAGACTAAACCACCACACAGCTACTCATGTTGTCATCACTAGCTGTTGCACTAGAGACACGCCTGAGCCTATAACCCTATGTCCAAACAATGCAGGTCTGAGTTCCATCTGTATTTGTTATTTCATAGCCCTGGGATGCTTTGTAAGTGGGGCCGATCAGCAAGCCCACGCTGGAAGGAGCAGCTTTCCTGATCACGATGGGAGAGTGTTGCTCAGTAGGCTCACAACATAACCCAACCCAAAACCTTCCCAGGAGAGAAGCTGGCAAAAGCAAACCTAGTTATCCAAGCTGTTTCCTCCTGTTGGCAATGAAGTTGGGTCACTTGTCATCCAACCACATATTTCCTTTCCTAATCCCTGGGTGAGCCTCAGGCTGGTTCCATCAATGCCGAATGCAAAGATGGGCCATTCAGGATATTCCGAGCCAGAATTTAGCAAGATACATCATCTCCCCGGCCTCCCGCCTACTCAGGACAAAAAGATATTGGCTGGTAGAGATTCATATGACAACTCTCATGAGGCAGGTCTTGAGAAGCCTCTTCCTGCCCCGAGTGTAAGTGAATGGGGCTAAACACTCCATTGCCCCTACACGGCAAGAGCAGCCCTTCATGAGTCATAGCTGAGTCATGGCTCACCCTGCCTGCCCCTTTTCCAGCAGGCTCCACCTCCTCTCAGCATCTGGCTACCGTGCTCCTTAAGCAGCCTCCACCGGGGCAGCTTGTGTCTTGGAGGTGCAGAAAAAACAACAAAGAACATTTGATATAGCTGATTCAAATTTCATATGGCCCACGGGCGCATATGGGTAACAGGTTATCTGCCATTCCTTGCAGTTCAGGAGAAAAGATCCCCCTGATTTTTCCATAGGAAGCCACAGATCATTGCTTATTTATCCGCCATCATCTTCAAATTCATCAGCCACCTCCCCTCCACGTCCTCCTCCTCCTCCTTAATCTGTTTAGTTCATGAATTATTGACTCCAGTGACCAAGTGTTCTTCCCGCCCGAATAAATGTGCTGCATACTGGATAACATAGACAAGACCTCTCCAACCTTCAGCTCTATTTCTTCCATTAGTTAACAAACTAACAAACAAACAAGAAAAGTCAAGAAAATGCTGTCGTCTCAGCACTGCACCTGTTTTTTGTACATTGATTGTGTAATTTAAAAAAGATCTATATATATATACATATATATATATATATATTGTGATTGTATTACTGTGGATACGACAAAAACAAAACGAGTAACTGAGCTATGTAATTGTTATATGGATTTTAACCCTCCTTTGAGTCTTGTGCTCGAATATCTCCCGGTGTAGATGTAACTGTCACCTTTACCAGATGAGCATTACTTTGGGGTTTGGCTTGTAGCAGGCAGTGGGTATAGGGAGTAAGAGCAGGGATATTTCTCAAGCGCCAGCGTGGCGGGGGAGAGGGGGCACTTAGTGCACTTCCTGCACAGGAAGTATGATGCCTCCCTCTCCCCCATGCCTTCCACCTCCACCCATTGCATGCCAAGTTATCGCTGCACCTGAAGGAGGCGTAACAGGCCCTGTTGTGTTCATCCAGAGAAGCTTGAGAATCCAGGGGCCTGGTTTTCAGAAGCCTTGAGCACTTGCTGACTTCATCTGGAGTTGTGGGGGCTCAGTCCCTCTGACCACCAGGACTTGAGTGTTCTGAAAACACGTCCCTACAAGGTGCTGAGAAGCTGAGCCTGTTGTAGGAGCAGGCCGGAGCTGGGCTGGGAAACAGGTGGAAAAGGCCCTTTGCAGCAAAGACCAACTATGTTATCACTCCTCGTAGGAGATGGGCCAGGACTTCCGCCATGAAGCCTTTGTTGATGGGGAGGAGGGATTGGCTTAAATACCTGTTGCTGCCACGAGGGCTTTGCTTCCAAGTCAGATCCAAAGCCAGATGGGGATGGGGGGGTCTAAAGTTTTGCTGTCAGGATGAAGCCAAGATCCTCGCAAGATTTTGAGTCTCCCCCGATCGAGTTGGGGGTGCGTGTTTGCCTTCCGCTTAGGCTGTGGTCATGCAGCACTGGATTTTAGCATTGTCCAACCCAAAGCCCAAGCCTAGTTCCAATTCATCCCCAAGCCTGAAAGGGCGGGGGAAACCCAATCCTCATAACCACCCCCTTGGCCCATCTCGCCTCCTGATGTTTGGTTCCAGGAATGTTTGGCAGGCCCTTTTCCACGCTGCAGCTCCAGGTCAGAGGAGCTTTGAGTTTGGAATGGCAGGAGAGGGACACTTAGGATTTATTTTGATTTTGCCAAGCTCAGAACAGCTCTAATGCAGTGACTCCAGGGCCTTGATCCAGCTGGGACAGAAGAAATAGCCCTTACGTCAAGTGGGTGAAAGTTTTCACTGTGGGTAAAGTGATGGGAGTTGGCCATGTCCTGTATGGAAGGCACTGGAACTTCCGCTCTGAGTGTACGGTGCAAAGGGGAAATCATTTATGTTGCTCCAGTGAAGTCAGCAGAGCCACATCCATGAGGAATTTGGCCTATTCTCTTTAGAAAAAGACACGTGCCCTGTCTCCCAAGCCAGCCAGCCTCGGCCAGCACAGCCAGCAATAACCAGAGGCGGACGCTTCTTCTCTCAGTAAAGGTCCTTTGCAGGAGAGTTTCCCCTGATGCCAAGACTCCTTAAGGAGCAAGCAAGGCCCAAACCAAATGCTAGGGTGAATCACAACATATGAGTCCTATGAGGTCCTGAGCACTCTGAATTCAGACCGGGCTCAGACGGAGTTTGGAGGCCCCTCTGCAGGAGTGGTCCCTACATTATCCAACAGCTTCCTGGAGTGGGTTGTAACCCAATAGGACTGAGCTGAGACACTTTTAGGACAGGCTCTCAGGCACAGTTTAAGAATATTTAACCCGCCACATGGAGCAGGTCCTCTACTTCCTCCCCTTGACTGCTCCACTGAATGGTGTTCGCTCCTAAATCCATTGAACCTTGCCGCTGGTCACCCAATCCATCACTGAGGCTCGGAAAGAGTTTCGCAGCTGGCGAGCAAACAGCTCCCAGGAGAATAATTCTATATTTAGATGGAGGGTCACGGGACGGGCAGAGCACGCAGGGCAAAGCCTTTACCCTAGCAAAAGAATGTTGCAAGCGCTCGACCCTCTCCCTTTCCCCACAGGACCGAACCACGCCAGAAAATAGCGGGGTTAAGAGAAGGCAAACCTGACCTAAGAGGCTTTAAAATGAGAGGCTGCTCGTGTATGGCCGGGGGGACTTCAAGGGCTCAAATAGAAGGGAACAGAGTTTCCAGTGGTTGAGATAATGCCACTAACTGTCTGTCTAGCTCTATACTCATCTCTCGAGGGAGAGGACAGAAATGGGGGCATGGCCTTTGCTTAACGTTTCCCATTAGAGCCCTGGGGGCTTGGGGGGCAATCTTGAGGCTGTAATTAACAGTGTTACTGTGAGCAAAGCTACAGTAGGAGAAGGAGCGTGTGTTTCTGGCACGCAAGGCTGCCTCTTCTTCCATAAAGGAAAAAAAAAAAAAGATAATACTTAAAAAATACAGTAATAAAGAAAAAGGATTATTTTATTCATGCACGGTGTGTTTTGCCTTGTTATTGGGGGTGTTAAGCACCACTAGGTCACCTCTTTAGGCAGTGTCCTTACCTGTTCCCTTAAAGGCGCAGGGGGACAGGAGCGCTGATTGTGCAAAAGCAGCACCTAGGCGTGAGTGCACATTTTCACACACAGCCTCATGCAAGAATGTGCCACTGTGCCCTAGCAATAAGGGAAAGGGATGGGGGAAAGCATAGGAGAATCTAGGGACCAAATTGGCGTGTGATTATGGGTTCCCAACTTGAGACACCACCAAAGGTTGCAGGGCTGGGGTTACAGAGATGGCAGAAAGGCAGCTTTGTTTACCTTTGATGTGTTGCTATAGCTAAAATCGAGGTGGACAG